GTTATCTCAAAATGTTTCTTCTTTTTTTTTTAGGATGGAGGCGCAGACTCAAAGGGAAATAGCAGCATTGAAGCTCTGTGACGGACATCCAAACATCGTGAAGTTACATGAAATTTACCACGATCAGGTGAAGCTTCTGGCATCAAATCTGTTTTTCACACTTTTCTTTTGGCCCTATGAGACCACCAGCCTATTAAATGCTAGAATTGGAACAGCGCAGATTAATAGGAGCCTCCTGGGAGCCTTTCTGGTCTTTTTCTCTACCTTATAGTATTATCTGTGAATATTTCTGAACATGGTTTTCCAAAGCAGATTTATTTCCAACCCACAGCTGTATAAACAACCTTTTTGTTCTGCAGAATGAAAACAACCTGGATTCACTTGTGTTGCTAATAGAGTTGCACACTTAACCCAAACTAAGTGTGCATGCACTTTGACGTGGCCTACCTCGGTTATTTGGAAGGTGTATCCAAGCGCCCAACTGCATACAGGTTCATTAGCCAAAGTCCTTCATGCCCAGGAGCACCACTTTAGTCCTGATGAGCTCAGCGGGGTTATTACTGTACGTCGCAGGCCTGTGACCCAGATCAAAGCGGCGCTGCCTGGCTTCGTCTCAGCTCCGTCCTGCTTTTGTTCCTTAGATCCAACACTAATGAGAATTTGTACCCCGCTGCCCAGACACTTTATTCCCTTCCATCTTTGTTAGACTCCTTTCACATTTACTCAATACTATTACGGTTTGATCTCACCATCATGAGATCAGGCATGTGCTGCGTGTCTGTGTTTTTGGTTGGAACATTTCATTTGTCTGTTTAATATCCAGTTTAGGCAATTACAGCTTGATTAAATTTGCATTTTTAAAAAACATGTTACATTTATGAGGGAAATATAGCTCGGGGATAACTCTTAACAGAGTCTGGTAAGAAATATGATTGGACAAAAAGAAGCAATCCTAATGTGGGAAACATTTAGGTGTCTTTATTTTGAAATGCATTGAAAAAAGTTATTAGAAGGTTCTGAGCTGCATTTTCTTGGTCAAGCTTTGACTACCAATAACGATTTCAGCCAGTTCCAGTGTCTTTGAGCCACCTTAAACAAGAAGATATAAGCTGCACATTCATTAGTTTTCAAACTGAGGTCACTTTAAAAAAGATTTCCTGTCAAAAAATAATTTTTAGATCATACCCTCTTTGGAGAATTTGGATCCATTTTTCATGGTTGCGATTAAGGGTGTAAATCACATCCATCATGGCGATTCGATTCAGTATCGATTTCCTGACCCAACGATTTGATTATTTTCGATACTCAAGAATACACCACGATAAGATTCGATTAATTTGTTCATATTTTTATTTTTTTTATTTTTTTACACCTTACAGGCTAGACAATGTTTCAAATTTGAAATACATCAATAAAAGCTGTAATATCATTATGCATTTTTTGGAGAAACAACAGAAAATAACAGAAGTAGAAACGTTGTACTCCACCTATTCCTATTAAAACCTCATTCACTGAATAATAATAATCCCCCTGTGTTATAGATTCTGAAAGGCTTTGCATCAAAAAATACTGCACAAAATCAGTGCAATGAGTGCAATGCAATACCTCGGCTCCAGACGTCCCGCCCCCTCCACAGACGCTCCGCTGCTCCTCCCCCAAATTGTAACTGACCTCAAACAGTGAGACAGGAGGCCGGCTCGTTTTGTTTTTATGACCGAAATTGCAGAAAACAACTCGTGAAGAAGATCGAGGTTCGCGAGAACGCTGGGACCCTTTTCCCTCCTGGATCTCCGCTCTTTTTGGCCCTCATGTCCCTCCGTCGTCGGACTAAACTCGCCTCCACTTCCTCACCGCCTTGTCCGTATCTAGACCCACAGCGTGTAGCGCAGACCACGCTTCAATATTGAGCATAAATAAAAAATGTCTGTGTAAAGCTCACTGCAACACACTGCTGCACGAGTATAACCAGGAAGCGAGGTAGGAGGGAAAAATAGGTTTAGCGCCACCGCAGCACGGGAGGGAGAATTACGCCCAGGAGCAAATGGATAAAAATAGACCGGAGGAAAAAAAAAACATGAATCGATTCTCTTGCGGACGTAATGATGCATCGGATCGTCGGCTGTTGGATCGATGCATCGACACAAAACCATTATTATTTACACCCCTATTTACACCGCATGTGTGTTGGATTAACAGGATTAAGTTATTGTTTATTTTGTAAGGCTGTTATGGGAATGGAATCTTGGTGGTTTCTGAGCCCCTTAGTGGTCAAAAAATGATTTTCACAAATCGCCAGGATTATCATTTTTAGTTTCAAGCATTTCACATACTGAGGTGAATAGTGGTGCTTCTTCTGTGGGGCAGTGGTGCACATGTAGAGTATACATGGCATCTGAGGGCAGCATGGCTCATATCAAGGATTATTTTTTTTTTAGATGATAGATACTGGAGCGTGATTTACCAAAGGCATCATATTGTGAAAATGGCGAACTTAGAGTATCCTTTTCTCAGTTATTTGTAGTTTTTCTCATCCTGGCCTTTTCTCTGTAATTAGAACAGGCCAATCTAGCAGCAAAATCTCTAAAACTAACACATTCTGTGTCTTATTTTTTATTTTTTTGCATCAGCTCCACACATTCCTGGTTCTGGAACTACTCGGTGGGGGAGAGTTGCTGGAGAGAATCCGGAGGAAGCAACACTTCAGCGAAACCGAGGCCAGCCGCATCATGCGCAAACTGGTGTCCGCTGTCAGTCACATGCATGATGTAGGAGTGGTGCACAGGGACCTTAAACCAGAGGTACCAGACATAACCGAGAAGGACTAGAATTTTTTCATGTATGTATTTTGTGGTAAACACAGCCTGGCTGGATCATATGCTTTGAAGAGACAATCACTGTGTTTTTCTGAACTGCATATAATGTGTCGTGTTGTCACTCTGACTCTGCAATCTTCTACCAAACAAGAGTAAAATTGTTTGACCCTAACATGGGTCACAAGGAGTTAGGCAGTCTCGATATACAATTTAGCAGGCTCTTGACTAAACCGAGCAGAAGGGGGAAAAAAAGAGAGAGAGAGAAAATGATGGCTGTCCGTGTCTCGAATTGCTTTGTAGAACCTGCTCTTCACGGACGAGAGTGAGAACTCAGAGATAAAAATCATAGACTTTGGCTTTGCTCGTCTGAAACCGCCAGACAATCAGCTGCTGAAGACTCCCTGCTTCACCCTGCAGTACGCTGCCCCAGAGATCCTCAAATATAACGGCTATGATGAGTCCTGTGACCTCTGGAGTCTGGGGGTCATTCTGGTAAGTGTGTGCTCCTTAATAATGAAATGCTATTCCTAAAAGTACAGTGTAGTTCGATATGCGACAATGAGAATGTCAGCGATTCAAGTATAAATAGTATTGGAAGTATAAAAGCCAACCGCTATGAATTAAACAAATTTAGTTTAGTTTTAAGTTTTATTTTGACTTCTGCAGTTCTTACTCCTTATTTCATTTTAAGCAATCATTTTTAGTTTTTTGTAGACATACATTTTTTTTTATGTAAGACACAGTTTGAAGTTGCAAAATATCAGTTTGCTTATTGTCCAACAATTATAGAAATGGAGAATCCATGTTTCCAGTTGTTCGTTTATTCCTAACAAGGACATCTTGTGCTTTACACACCAGGAAAGTTTTTCTTTTAGAGATGAAGGGATTACAGTTTTCTGTCTAAACCAGATTTAAATAAGAGCATATTTTTATATTATATTTTTTATGCTTTCGCGCTGTGAGAGATGAGATGTTTTAAAAATGTTTTACAGTTGTTTTTTTTAAGTATTAATGGAATAAAATTTTTAAATGTTCTTTTTATCACGATTAAAACAGCTATGCTATCTACAATGTCATTCTATGCATGCATTCCACAGGAAATGTAAATCTTAACTCCATTATCCAATTCGAATTCTAGTTGCTACATATGATGCTGAAAAATATGAATCACCGATGAGAAAAAGATCTGAATTTTGAGTTTATGATGGGCCTTCACCAGTTTACACCACAAAGCTAAAAACATTTCTGCTTCAGAAGTTTTCTAGGTTTTCTCAAGTTTTGTTTTCGTCTCCGAAATCTGAGGAAAATCTCAACTGTGAAGACTTTTCTTTATCATGATACTGAGGCTATTTTACATTGTTTTGTTTTTTGTGCCTAATTTGTCCTGCTTTAGGACAAATTATGTCTGCAACAATTTTAATAATTCAGTTAAATCCAAAAGTGCTTATTTATTCCAAAGGGAAATCAAATATTGTTAAAAGTAACAAGGATTTCTTCCACCAATTGTTGTAGATGTTAATGACAGTAGACCGGAAGGATCTGCTGTAGTAAAAGCCACTGAGTGAATAATTATTTGAAATTACATCCTCATAGTTTCATAACTAAAGTTTTGAATCACAGGCTTAAAATTAGCATCACAAATAAGCCCTTATTTAAAGGGGGACTTCCCAGCCCCACAGATGGGGGCTTTGCCTTTTCAAACTAAATAGATTGTGCCCTTAAGGGTTTTGTAAATATATTATGTTGAATAAATATTAGGGATACTCTATTAACTTTGTGTATCATATTTAAAATATCTATCTAACCTCAATACAAATTAAAAGCGAACAATTTACAAATATCAAACTGTGGAAGATATTTTATTGGAAACCATTTTCTGGAGCTTGGTAAAGGGGAATTTCGTTGTTTTTTTTTTACATTGGGCCCTTGTCCCCCAGACATCCACAGTTATATTTTTAAAATTAATATCTTTTAAAAACAAAGCGGCGCGGTAGCAGCACTAGACATCTTCCAGGCATCTGAGGAAAACTAGCAGCAGTTCAGCGGACAGGAGGAATGAACGGTAACCGGCGCGCGCGGATGACGTCGTACACATTCCACTTTATTTAAAAAAAATATATATATAGATATAGAAAATATAACCGCTGATGTCTGGGGGACAGTGATTGGCCTACAGGTTCTGAATGCTGGCGTACCATAAAGAATAAATTATGAACAGTTTAGTTTGTTTCTTCAAGTCGTTTGCTCAAAGGAAGACGTTACTTGGATATAACCTAACGGAATATCTTCAGAACGGCTCCAAATGACACAAAACTAATATGGGTGAGTAGAACATGATGTAATAACGTAAAATCAAGGGCCCAATGTAAAAAAACTGGCCTTCCCCTTTAAGAGAGCGAACATCGACATGTAAAGGTGGCATTTTATCTAAAATTCCAGGTAAAGAGTAGTGCATTCTGGGAAAGATTAGCCACGCTATCTCTTTTAATCACAAAAATACAATGCTGAAGCCAATTTAAAATGTTTTCATTCTACTATTTTCTCTCTTTAAGATATCAGTAAGCAATGTCACCTTTGCACTCTGAGAAAGTTAATATTTGCAGGAGGGTTACAAAATAATATTTTGTATAGGGATGCACGATATTGGGAATTTGGCCGATATCCGATATGCCGATATTTTAAAACTCATGTAGCCGATAACCGATATCGATACCGATGTTAAAGCTGGACAAAAATAAGTAGTCATTGAAAATAGCAGTTTTGTTATCCGTTTCTGACACTTTGAAAAATAATATACTCAAATATATTTTCATATGCTGATATCAAATTGATTTTTAAAAACGCGGTATCGATCTATTTTACTTTCAAAATCTGGTGAAATTTCATCGTTCTGTTACAAACTCTCGTGATATTTTGCAAATTGTTGTGAGATTTTGTTAGTAAAATAGATCGATACCGCGTCAATATATCAACATATAAAAATATGGCAAAATTTTGTGAATTTTCGGGGGATTTCGTAGCATAACGATGACATATAGCAATATTTCATTAGTAAAAGAGATTGATATGGTGTTTTTAAATGGCAATATATCAGCATATGAAGATATTGGGATATTTTAATGGATCAATATTTTTTCCCTCGTCTTTAGAAGTTTTTAAGTCTGTAAAAAAGAAGTTTTTGAGGAAGAAGAAGAAGTAGTATTTATTTTTATTTTTTTAAGACTTTAGAAACTCAGAAGCTGATCAAATATCGGGTTAAATATCGGTGGGGTGGCCGATGTCCGATATTCAGTTTTAAGGCCGATACCGATAGGGGGCCGATTATATCGTGCATTCCTAATTTTGTATATTCTTATAACAACTAGAGAAACATGAATTTGGCCAAAATGGAGGTTTAAAAAGACCAGGAGCCAGCCATATTATTTTATTTCCCGTTGCCTGTTTCAATAGTTTTTTCTCTTCAAAATGGTTAATCTGTTATAATCTTAAACATACAAAAAAAAAAAAAAAAAAGATGAATGATGGGTATTGTGGATGATTTTATTTTTTACCATATGGTACCTTGAGATAAACATACTTAATTAAAATTGCACCACAGATTTAAGTGAGTCGGTTTTTGCAAACAATTTATTTTTTTTTTTTTGCAAACCTGCACTGTTATTCAACTCTTTATGACATTTCTGGATTAAGAGGGAGATGAGAAAATAAGAATTGGAGGCAGAGATTTCTCTTTCTGTTCTGGCCAGTCATCCGTACAGGGCAATGGCTTTATATTTATCTGCTGCTCTGCTGTTCTCCCTGCGGTTGGATGGAGGATGGGGGGGTGGGGGGGAGCTTCATACTAGTCTCTTTTATGAAGCTTTAATCAAATTGCTTCTGACATGCTGTGTGCACAATGCCCTGCAAGCCAAGTGAGCTGAAACTGCAGCCAAAAGAGCTCTTCCCCACTGCTGTCCTTTTAATGAGAAATCTGAGGGCAGATGTAAGCGGGCGAAGGTGAGAGCATCCTGTTTATTCAGCTGAGCACAGGACACTCTATTTTTTAGTGCTGGTTCAACCATGGTCAACAACAGGCAGCGTAACAATGAAAAAATGTGGACGGTCGTGATCGGTCGAGGGCACTTTTAAAGCATGCCATATAAGCACTAGTGGCTTGTTCCTTTCCCAGCTCAGTGTAGGCAGCGTGCTATAAAATAAAACAAATATTTCAGTTAGTGTGCCACACTTACACCACATGTGAACATTACTTTATAAGTGGGTAATTAAGTGTGTATTCTGTACTGATGCTGGTTTCCCTGCTGTTGCAGTACACCATGCTGTCTGGGCAGGTTCCTTTTCAATGTCAGGAGAAGAGCCTGATCCATACGAGTGCTGAGGAGATCATGCACAAAATCAAACAAGGAGATTTCTCTTTTGGAGGCGAGGCCTGGAGAAATGTATCCCAGCAGGCTAAAGACCTGATACAAGGTGAGTCTGTTTCCTCTTCACCGCTGCTTTGACCTAAACATGTTTGTTTTTTGAAACACTAATGAAAAGTACATAGATTTAATTAAGTACTTAGCATTGAAATTGATGTTTAACCTTTGGAACATTTTCACATTTCGTCATGTTCAACAAACTCACTTCAGTCTCTTTTACAGAGATAGATTAATGCGAAATGTTTCATATTTTTGAAGTGGAAAAAAAAAGGTTTCCATTGTTTTCCAGCAAAGTTTAAGGAGAGTTTGTTTGGACACTCTCTCCAGGCAACCTGGCTCAAAATGCACCAGACTAGGCCTTTCTAACACACAAATCCACTTGAATTTGACTCATTTCCTCGTGGTTACTGGTTGCGTGTTTAGAGTTGTTGTAATGCTGAAATTTGAACATCCGTCCAATCCTTTTATCCCTCTATCAGGGTTTCTTCTAAGATTGTCTTGCATTTAGCTTCATCCCATCTTCCCAATAACTCTAACCAGCTTCTTTCTCCTTGGTAAAGAAAAAAAAACACACCACATTATGATCCTTCCACCATCGTGCCACTGGGGTGGTGGAGGGTGAGGCGTTACTGTTCCATCATCCATCTGTTAAGTCTAATCTAATGTGCATCATCTTTCACCTTTCAGAAGTGTAAACTCAGCATTTGCAATGCTTTTTTCAGCAGGGGCTTTCACCTTACCACTCTTCCAAAGCCATACTGTGGGAGATTTACACCTTCCTACCCTGTTTGTTATCAACATGATGGAATAAACAACAATATCTTAAACAAAGAATGCTGTTTTCTAACATAATCCATGACCCCTCTGCCATCTTCCTTGGTCGCCATGATGCTGTTTGTTCACTAACGTTCTCCAATAAACCTTTTTGGTTTAGAGACAGATGAGCTGTACTCACACTGACATTATTTTTATAAATTCTGAAGCCAATAATTGCCTTTGATTTTAATTTTGGAGTATCGAGGTAAAGGAATCAATCCTGACGCTCATCTTTTGTATAAAAACAAACATCAGAGCTAAGCATCATTTCCTTCCCCCTCACTATTTCCACTACCTGATCTTAGTGACATCACATCTGAAGATTATTTTTGTGATGTGATCAAATTCAGTAAAAGTATTTTCAGAGCTGGGATATTGGTGTGTTTGCAGCCTCACAGATAAAAAACCCAGATTTTAACTTAGACAAAGAAATGCTGTCGAAACAGGAAGTTTGTCCTTATCTGAACTTCGGTGAAGCATTCACCTCTTCAAGCAGTAGCTTCACATAGTGAATTATATATTAATGGGATTAACTCACTACAAGTATCTCAGTAATGAGGAACACTGATAAAGATTTTTCTTGCTCGGTTTGTAATTACAATTCTCATATTTTATTTATCTGCTAAAACTCAGTATCCTAACTATCATGTTTGTTGTTGTTTTTTCATTTACTGGAGCACCTACCTCTATGTTTTAACTTTTTTTTTTTGCAAGTATCTTCTTAAGTTGCATTTATTTTGAGTAAACATTTTCGCTGTAATGATTAGGGGTATAAATCACATCCATCATGGCGATTCGATTCAGTATCGATTTCCTGAACCAACGATTTGATTATTTTTGATACTCAAGAATACACCACGATACGATTTAATTCGATTAATTGGATCTTTTCTTTTTTTTTACACCTTACAGGCTAGACAATGTTTCAAATTTGAAATAAATGAATGAAAGCTGTAATATCTTTATGCATTTTTTTTGAGAAACAACAACAAATAACAGAAGTAGAAAAGTTGCACTCCACCTATTCCTATTAAAACCTCATTCACTGAAAAATAATAATACCGCTGCGTTATAGATTCTGAAAGGCCTTGCATCAAAAAAACTGCACAAAATCAGTGCAATGAGTGCAATGCAATACCTTGACTCCAGACGTCCCGCCCCCTCCACAGACGCAGTAGCTGACCGCAAACAGTGCAGCAGACAGGAGGCCGGCTTGTTTTGTTTTTATGACTGAAATTGCGGGAAACAACTTGTGAAGTTTGACCCGCTAGAAGAGCGAGGTGCGCGAGAACGCTGGGACCCTTTTTCCACCTGGATCTCCGCTCTTTTTGGCCCTCATGTCCCTCCGTCGTCGGACTAAACTCGCCCCCACTTCCTCACCGCCTCGGCCGTATCTAAACCCACAGCGTGTAGCGCAGACCACGCTTCAATATTGGGCATAAATCTAAAATGTCTGTGTCAAGCTTCAACACACTGCTGTAAGAGTATAAACAGGAAGCGAGGTAGGAGGGCAAAATAGGTTTAGCGCCACCGCAGCATGGGAGGGAGAATTACATCCAGGAGCAAATGGATAAAAATAGACCGCAGGAAAAAAAACATGAATCGATACTTTTGCAGACGTATTGATCCATCGGATCGTCGGCTGTTGGATCGATGCATCGATACAAAACGATTATTATTTACACCCCTAGTAATGAGTACAGTTTAGAGAAGCCTTCTCTTTAGAATGACGTGTTACAGACTGCATCTGAGGGCCACCATGATGCCTTTATACCAATCAGCTATAGATAATCGTCGCATCTTTTGATCATGTTTCACAATTCAGACCCAGTTTTTCAATTGTATATTAATGATTCCAGAGATCAAGTATCTTTTGTGCTCGAAATTAGCTTTATTTTGAAAATTTTACGTGTTTTTAAAGGCAAGACTGAAGTATAAGTACGTGATCACTTCCATTCTCTCCTCCATAAATCCCTTCCCCATTCAAATCACACAGGCAACACATTTGAAACCCCTTTAGAAACAGGCCTACTAGTCCTGCCACAATCACCTGTATCCTGTACTTGTATATCACCTTTTCCCAAGGAGTTTAACTCTACATTCAGTCATTCACCCATTCTACAAGCTGCATTGTAGCCACAGTTGCAATGGGTCCCACAGTCAGAAGTAAGGCTGCCATACATGGGCGCCACTGGCTCTGCTTGTCATTTATAAAATGTTTTGTGACATAATATAAAAAAAATCCTATTTCTCTCAAAACCTAATATAGTTATGATATTCTTACACATATTTACTAAACATCTAATGCTTTATTCGTTTGAATTTTAATCCAGTTAAAGATCAAAAACTCATTAAGTACACATCATAATCCCTATCACTGCTCCCTGCTACCTCTTAGCCAATAGGACCATTTAAACACCTCTGCAATGGATAAACTGTTTGAATTTGGGAAGAACTTATTCAGAGGACTCCCACATGACCTGCCTTCTTCTTTCATGTGTTAAGCGAATTATCTGGGTCTTTTTTTGCCGCAGAGCTCCTGACCGTGGATCCAGACAAGAGGATTAAGATGTGCGGCCTCCGCTACAACGCCTGGCTCCAGGACGACAGCCAGCTGTCCTCCAACCCACTCATGACCCCAGACATTCTGGGCTCCTCCACTGCCACCGTTCACACCTGCGTCAAAGCCACCTTTAATGTAAGAAAGCAATGATAACCAGTAAGAAACGTGCACAAAAAACTGTATACTATTTTTAAATATTAAACATATAAGAGTAGAAGATCAAGAAACCCAACAGAGGAAGTTTGAAGCAATGTATATTTAGTTGTTTGTTTTGTAAAACTAAATATTGCTAAAAGTTTGGGTTCTGTATCTTCCATCGTTGCTCATCTACAGATCTTTAATTATAGTAATAGTCTGATTATCTGGAGGATTCCACTTTTTATACATGATTCTGTGTTTATCTGAACTATTCTAGTTATTAATAGTTTTAGTGTATCTGGTTTGCCTTGTATTTAGTTCAATTTTAACCAATTTCCCCAGACCTGCAAAGAAAGGCAATTCCCAAAGCGTTAGAGTTAGTTTTCTGCATCACATGGTTGTATGCTAAACTGTGTTTACAGTAAAAAAAGGCAGTCAAAACCAAAAAGCCATTTTTAAATATATGTTGAAGCAGAAAAAGGTTAGACGAATAGTTAAAACAAGAGATTGTTAGAAAAAGAACATGTAAATAACCCTCCCACCTTTTTTTTTTTAGGCATTTAACAAATGTAAACGAGAAGGTTTCCGCCTACAAACGGTGGACAAGGCGCCACTAGCCAAGAGGAGGAAAATGAAAAAGACAAGTACCAGCACAGAGACCCGCAGCAGTTCCAGCGAGAGCACCCATTCCTCTTCCTCTTCCTCCCAGTCTCAAGAGAAGACATTAACAGAGGGCGAACCCAATCCACAGCCTTCCAGCAGCCCTCCTGTTACCGCGGCAGGGACCGAAGAGACGGACTCTGGAGAACAGACAACACTTTCAGCCTTTCACTTCACAGAAGGACAGTGAGATAAATCCACATTCAGTCTTATTGATGGACTGTGGATCCAACTGATGACAGCTCTCCTCTTTGTCTTCATCCCTGGCAATTTTCTGCCTCCAGCTCTATTGCATGGACGCCTGCATGTCACCAGAATCGAGCATGCAGCAGGCGCAGAAGCTTGCACTGTAAGACAAATCAATCAATCATCTTTAGCAATAGCCTCTCCTTTCTTTTTCTCTGACATTCACGCTTCCTCAACATCAATCAGGGACTGAACCAGGCAGAATTTATCATTGTCTTAAGGGCTGCCCCACTGTTTCCAGTCCAGCAAGATGGAAGGGAGAGACATCTTTGTACTCATCATGAAAGCAGGAGCTCTGTCCTCTCCTCGTTCTCCGTATTTGTCCACGTCTCTAGGTGATGTTTTTTTTAAAGGGAAACTCGTAGTATTTAAACCTTAGTGGCTTCGTATTTTTTGTCAAACAGAAAGAAGATGCGTAATGAAACCATGGGACAAATTGCTTCTTTAAGAAGTCTCTGTGAGATGGAGCTTTTATTTATATGTAAATTTTAGACTGTAGTGTATTTATGAAAGGCTATATTGTTAACTTATTTATGGTTCCAAATGAGCCTGAAAGAAATATTGGATGCAGTAAGGCTTTAAAAAATAGTATCATGAAAGAAATAACCCTAAAAATGTGTGCATTTAAGGCACATAGCAAACCATTAAAGAAAGAACGCCATCTGTAGTTTCATCAGTTTGAGAGCTCTGCAGCCCGCTGGGATGCCACCCTGAGAGCAGAGATTATTTAGAGTTGTTGCTCCCTCCTAACAATGTGTTAGCTCTTCATAACCTAGCATGGCTGGTTGTTAATGTGCTCCTATCTTCAGATCAGCAGCATTTAGCACAATAGTGGGATTAAACTTTTGTTGCACTGTGTTGGACGCAATTGTGTGCTTCCTACTACAGCCAGTTAGATCTTTGGCCCAAATGAAAAACCAAGATCTGCCCAATATGATACGAAGTCGTAACTCCCTCCTACTGAGGACTGAAATGGGCAGTTTTAAGCGGTCTCCTGTTCAGAAATGATTAAACAAATTAACAGGAAGTTTCAAGAATCAAGTAATGTCCACTTTCCAGCTATGAGTGTAGAGGTGGGGATTTTTAAGGGTTGTGCTTGAAAAAAAAAAAAAAAAAAGAAAATCGAGCCGCTTTCTTAAGTATTTCACATCATTTTCTATCTGATTAAGTTTTCAGATCGCTTCTGGTCTTTGATGCTTGCTCAATCGATCATGTCCCGTTTCATGTATGAAACAAGGAGCTGTGCAGATCTCTGGTTCGTGCCAAATTTCAGTGCAAGTTATAATGTGAACTGAAATATAAATTTTTCTCCCCTTTTATTTATGGCCTCAAAGGCCGACTCCTACTTGATCAGCTTGCATTTGTTTACTTGCACATTTAAAGTCCCTGAATCGAATTGGGACCTCTTTTTTTCCTGATTTTTTTATAAACGTACCAAACCCAGTTTTACTAGAGATGTGTGCTCGACCTACTATTTTCTGCTGATGCTGATTTCTAGCTAACTCCAATTTCTTTATAAATAGCTTAAAAAAAAAGCAAGAACAGCAGTGAAAATATCTCCTTTTTTAGCTTTCTTGTCATGTGAGATTATCAGAGTTTAAAACAAAAAAATGTTAAACTCTTAGCATGATCACCATTAAAAAAAAAAAAAAAACAGGCTCTGGATGTGTTTCCTAGAAGATGTGACATTTCCATATTAGATAAAGGTTGAAAGCTAAGCAAGGTCAAACAGAGTAATGACTGGTTCTCTGGTCAGCCTTTCTGTTACTTCCTGAAAGTCTTGCTCTCTCTTTGTGTTGCTGCCTGAATGAACCGTACTGAATTAAACAGGGTAGGTCTCAAATAGAGCTTATTTGGATTGAAAAGAGAGAGATCTTTAATTGTTCCTGCTCATAATCCATGAGTAGAACTTGATGTTGATAGCAGACATTGATCTTGGTGGTAAAGACGTGGCACACATAGGGACACAGAAAAAAGAAGCTGATTTAATCACTGAAGAGTCAGACTTCTTTACATATGGTGTCTATTTAAATCCCTTTTTTCTTTATCTTCCCATTTCTGTGCTTCACCACCTTCCTGCTACGGAAAACGGCTAACTTTGAGCGCCCTTCATTCAGTAATTGCATTCACACCAAAGAGTGGTGGTGGTGTTGTCCTGACCTGGTAGCACTCAGTATGGTGCATTCACTGAGCGAGAAAAGGTGGAATTTTTGAGCCTCCCACTGCTCAGTAGACACAAAGCTTAAAAGTTCAACCAATTGCGTTAACCCTTTGATATCTCTGCATCTTTATATTCATCTTAGCCTAAATATAACAAAGTCCCAGTGTTTTAATCAATATATTTGGCAATTTTAATACTAGATATTATGTGTGTCTTTCTGCTATGAAGTTAAATGCTGTATTTTATTGATTTATATACAGGGTATATAAATTAACTGGCAGTCAAATGTGAAATATTATCCCTGAGCTTGACTATTGTGTTTATTCAAACACGCTCTCACCATTGGCCATTTTTATGCACTTCTAATCTGAACCAAAGCATTAACTTAAAGGTAGCTGCTTTTAAACTGCATGAAAAAATATTTTCTTTCATGCCTGAAACTATGCATCTCTTTTTGCCGCTGCGTTGCTTTTATCCTTTAAAGAAAAGATCAGACCGAATGGGTTTAAACAGAAAATGGCATAGCACAATGTACATGTACGGTGCTTTTTCTTTTTTCATCCAATAGCATCAACCGTAAAAGATGAAGCAAAGTGGGGATCTGTTGCCCTTATAAAAAAAAAAAAAAAAAAGCCGGGATCCTTGAAACTAAACACTACAAAGCTCTCGTCTAAGTTAGCTCGCATGAGTTCCCCGTAGCTGCCTCATTAAGCCTCTTCTTTTGTTTGGGTGTATTAATAGCTCAAGTGGAGGAAGAGGAAGAGTGTCCTATATTGAGCTCTCCTCTGGGAGCCGTGCTCTATTAACTGATGTGCTGCGCCGCTGTTTGTTCCAAAGAAAATACCGTACTCCACTCCGTCTCTATGGGGCCAAGCTTCACTTTGTAGGGAACAGAACAGTGCGTCACATTAAAGGAAGCGTTTGGCTCTGACGTCTCCTTGGGGATGATTCTCAAACTCGCCACCCCCCTGCTTACCGCCACTTTTGATGAGCAGCTTGTTTGCTGTCCTGCTATAAAATATAAAAGAGACGGCGATATGAGTAACGCAGTACTTTGTTGTGTTTGATGCGCTTGTAAGATGAATTACATTCCCTCCAGTGCTTCCTCTGTTTTGCAGTTAAAAACATCAAACCTGATGGAGCTAATGTTTTTATTTTTTTACGGTGACATTTTAAAATCCAAGCACTGTTACGAGGAAGTTCTTTGAACCTTTTATTAATGACTGAGGTTACGTGTTCTGGTGTTAAGGAAACTGCTTTAGATCATTTCTCTGTGATTCTGTAACAAGCATTGGGTTTTCTTAGGCACTGAAAGCGCAGCTTTGCTGTAGATTGTTGGACAAATCCTTTGATTTGATTTTATTAAACGAGGTAACGCATAAGTATACAGAGAGCTGATGATGGTGCCGAAGTGCCCAGACTTATTTTCATGTTTTGAAACAGCATGGCCCTTTAATGAAGTGATTCTCCTACCAGAAGTACTTGAGGACACCTTGATAAACTACAGTAGTATTTATTTTTTTTGCCTCAGGAAAAAAAAGGGGGATTGTAGAAATGCAAGAGGCTTATTCTGTATGTGTTTATTGTCTTTAATAAGGGAACCACTTTTATCAACCTGAGTATGTTACGACTACTTTGACTGAAATTTAGCAAATGATTCTTAATAAATGTTTTTTTTTGTCGACCGCTTTGCTGTTTTTGTACTGAAAATGTGTGACGTTCATGTTTGTTTACCTGACGAGGTGAAGTAGTCAAAATTATGTTGTTTTTTTTATTGTTGGCTGCCGATATACATAAGAAATGAAAATGTTCAACAAATGCTTCTCATTAGGTACCTTTTTAAAAAATACAGAATTGATTTAAAACAGATTAAAATCTAAATAATGTCATAACTCAATGCAAAATCAGCCATATGAGAAATGGTTACAAAATGCTAACCTCTTCCAAGGCGTTGTTGTTAAATAAATTGTAAATTTGTGTAGTTCTGCATGTGTAGTTAGAAAGAATGTGAGGCGTTGTCTCCGATTCGTCATATCGCATGTGCTGCCGCTCGTTTCCGGTTTTTACTTTTTAGTGTCAAAAAGTACTGTAGCAGCAGATCCCTTTGAAATTCAGTAAATATGTGATATAAAAGAAACAAAGCCAAGCTTTAAGGGGAAAATGTGCTTTCATTTATTTATTTATTTTTTATATAAGAATAAGAAATGATCCCCTTTGACATGTTGGATTAATATATTTCACTTGTTTATCTGTCTGTTTCTGTTGATAGCTGTTCTGTAATATAAACCTCAGTATTTTCACCTTATACAAGTATATACTTTGTGCTTATATGCTTTGTAGAGCACTGTGGAGATCCTCTTTTTTTCCCTTCAGATCATATGGGTTACTTTGAGGACAAAAAAAAAAACAATTGTACATTTCTTGAATAAAATGCTTTATAAAGGCTGACTACTTTCACATCAGAGTTTGAATTATTGTGTTTTGATTATTTCTGATTTTATTTTGAGATAATAGAATGAAGTTGGATTATTTTCTGGTCAGTAATCGATTTTAAATACCTAATCTGGACAGAAATGCCATTTGAAATCAGAATCCGACTTTAAAAGCATGTCAGGTTTACACAAGGGAGTGACCTCTAGGTGGCAGTGTTTATCAACAAATCTGGTGAGCAACTACACATAAATTGTTCAGTGTTCTTAGTTTTTTTATGTTGATTAGATAGAAAGACAATGTCTCGCTTTTTTCTTGAAAACTAAATAAAAAAATACACTTATTTAGTTCTAATTCAATGCTTACATGTAGAGGATAAAATAATGCATTTGTTGTCTATAAAGTCATCTTGCATACACAGTCAATCTTGGATCTATCTACACAATGTTAAGGCATTTAGAATAACAGCAGACCTAAATGAGAAAAACTTTTCTACAACAATGGAAAGTTATCTGGATGGTGAAGATGAATGAAATCTACCTGCAGTTTTACCCAAATACCATCATTTCTATAAAACAAAACAAAAAAGCATCTTTACCAAAGTCTGATAACAATGTATCTATTAGTTATGTTATTAAAATGGAATTTTATAAATTAAAAGCAGTAAGTTCCCAGCAGGGAAACATCCAAATACCTAAACAAAGACAAATATAAACGCAGCTTGTGATCTGAGATGAATTGTTTTGTGTGGCTGAAGAACAATGTAAACTAAATAAAGTGAAGCACTTTTAAAATGGGAGGGGGTTGCACTTTAGCATGTCAACAGGAGAGGGCCCTCTTTAAGCTTGGGCTTTTCCTAAAGCCTTGGAATAGGATAATTTGATGGAATTTTAACTCTGCATTTCCATGTTTTTGTGAATGATTCCCTTTAGATGAAATTCATATCATTTGACAGTTCAAATCCTTGTATGGAGTTACATGGTTCTTTTCTTTACCGTGGCTAATGGCACAAATAATTTAATAATTTCACTTTTAATGCATGCTGACCACAATGCTACAACCCAAGAATCAATAGTTAATGTATTTTAATTTTAAAAGAAGGAATTCCCTCTAACCAAACTGATATATTACTAAAAAAAATGACCCACTCGTGTGTATAGGCCAAGGTAAAAAAAAAAATAGAGGAATTTGTTTTTTTCAGGTAAATCACCCACAGCATCTGCAAAATGAATTAAACTAGAGATAAAAGTGTTACTTTTATGCAGGAACCAATTGTTTGCATTAGGACTTGATACATTTTTAGGTAAAAATCAAATCTAAACAGAGGTGGGAAGTAACGAAGTACAAATACTTTGTGACTGTACTCAAGTAGATTTTTCTGATATTTTTACTTTACTTTACTACTTATTTTTATGGCGACTTTTTACTTCTACTCCTTACA